GAGCACCAGATGCAAAAATAAACTTTCTTCCCCAGGGAAATATTGAGAGCTGGGATTTTTTGTCTTCTTGCTCTGTGCTCAGCAGGAGGGATGATCCATGATATCTACCAGCCCATGACACTGTCTGTTTTCTCTGAGGCATGCCCCTCAGAGTTTCAAGATTGGCAGAGTGCTGGACAAGTGAACCAACCTCTTCCCTCCACTGGGAGATGCTGAAGCTAGGGGGTTTCTTCCTTATCATATGGTATTGAGCTGGTGGCAGATACTCTGGCAAGAGGGTGTCCTAATCTCCTAATCTACCATCTTGCTGACATCATCCCCTTTAAAATTATTCTCTTTTTGTGGAATATGATGAGCTGGTTCTAAAATATATAGAGAAATGCCAAGGGCCAAGAACATCCAAGATATTTTTAAAGAAGAGGAACAAGGTGGAAGGACTTGCTTTACCAGATATCAAGAGCTTATTATGAAGTCCAGTAATTAAGACTATAGTATTGTTACAATGACAAATAGACTAACAGAACAGTTCAGAAACAATCTCACACATATGCAGACAATTTACGACAAAGGTGATACTGTAAAGAAGCAAAGAAAAAGACATTCCTTATAAATAAATGGCCTGGGTCAGTTGAAAAGATAAAGCTTGGTCCCTATATCTCATCATACACATAAATCAATTCCAGATGGACTGTAGATCTAAATGTGAATGGCAAAATACATAAAGCTCCTAGAAGATAACATGAAAAAAATACCTACATGATCTCAAGGTAGGAAAATACTATTTTTTTTTTTTTCTTCAATGTTTATTTATTTTTGGGACAGAGAGAGACAGAGCATGAACGGGGGAGGGGCAGAGAGAGAGGGAGACACAGAATCGGAAACAGGCTCCAGGCTCTGAGCCATCAGCCCAGAGCCCGACGCGGGGCTCGAACTCATGGACCGCGAGATCGTGACCTGGCTGAAGTCGGACGCTTAACCGACTGCGCCACCCAGGCGCCCCAGGAAAATACTATTTAAATGAAACACAAAAAACAGTCACAAAAGAAAATACTGAAAAACTAGACACATGAAAATTTAAAACGTCTGTTCCTCAAAGAATACTGAAGAGATTTGGGAAGGGTTTGCAATATAAAAAGTGCAAAAACGGTCCATAGCCAGAGTATATAAAGAATTCCTACAAATCTATAGGAAAAGGAACAACCTGATTTTTAAAAATGCACAAAATACTTGTAGAGACACTTCACAGAAGTTATCCAAATAGATAATAAACCTTTGAAAAAGTGTACAACTTCATTAGTCTTCCGAGAAATGTCAATTAAAATTACAATGAGATAGTATTACAAACCCATCTGCCAGAATGGCTATAATTTAAAAATTTTTTAATGTTTATTTTTTGAGAGAGAGAGACAAAGAGAGACAGAGGGTGAGCGGGGGAGGGGCAGAGAGAGAGGGAGACACAGAATCCAAAGCAGGCTCCAGGCTCTGAGATGTCAGCACAGAGCCTGACGTGGGACTCGAACTCATGGACCGTGAGATTGGGTTTCTGGAGACTTTTATCAGCTGTTAAGTTTTTCTTGAGAAGTGACCGTCAGAATTTCCTATATGATTATGGATGCAAATCCACTTTTTGTTCTTTTACATAGAAAAGATAATGGTTTTGTTTTGTCATTATTTTCAACACCCTTACTGATACTGCCCACCATATTACTTCCTTTGGGGACCACAATCACAACTGGGGCAACTTCTTCACAAAATGATCAATAATGATTTTTATTTTTATTTTTATTTTACTCTAACAATCATATTGTGTACTAACTCAGAAAATGAGGTGTACCTAGATCTTCATATCATCTCCTGTGAGTAGCCAGATAAATCTACAGGTATTCCTTGACTACTCCAGCTAAAGGAGAGAGTTATGATTCTAAAAGGTCTGAAGCGACCCTCTCACTTTTTATCATTAGCAACGTCTCCACTGGGGAGGCTTTTCTAACAATTCCGTTGGAGAACTTTGTTGATCTCTCTGTTATGTATCCCAACTGCCCTAATTTCCTTCTGTATCTTGTTTTAAAAGTTTTTTTTTTAATGTTTATTTATTTATTTTTGAAAGAGAATGAGCAGGGGAGAGGAGCAGAGGGAAAGACAAAGAGAATCCCAAGTAGGCTCTGCACTGTCAGCACAGAGCCCAATGCTGGGCTCTATCCCACGAACCCGTGAGATCATGACCTGAGCCAAAATCAAGAGTCAGAGGCTTAACCGACTGAGCCACCCAGGTGCCCCTCTTGTTTTAAAAGTTTTTAAATTGAGGGATACAAGCAAACCTCCTCAGTGATCTCTAGATCCCTTTCTTGAGTCATAACTGAGCCTATCATCTCATAAAGATGAATAGGTGTGCATGACCTTATACAATGAAGTGCCTCTGTTTTGCCCACTTGGTCTTTCTGTAATTTATTCTCATCAGTTTGTCTTTACTCCTTGCAAATAAGCTGGCGAGGAACCTGAACGTTCTGCCCATTAAAGGGTGTATATTTTTATCTTTCTTCCTCTCCATGTAAGAGTTTCTGTAAGAGCAGCTGTTTGTGTTGAAAAACTAAAATATAAAAATATGACCTACGTGGCCAAATCCCACAAGGCTGTTTACTTCCTTGTTTATGAATCAGAATGTCAGCACAACTTAGAATCTTGACTGTCAGCAGATATTGCAATTAAATGTCCCTGCAAAGCCAGCAGAGGGTGCACCAGGGTACTAGCAATTTTACCCAAGATGTAGCAGTATCAGTTTAACTCTAATAGCCAATCAACTTTTTGCCTTTTTTGGGGGGGAGAGGTGGGTATACTAAAACTAACATCCTCAAAAGAAACATAATTTGAATCTGGGCTAAAATTTCTTTAAATTATACTTCAATTCTCCTGAAAGTAAAGTTTAAGAAGAGTAAGGAATACATGTTAAATTTAGTCTGACCAAAATATAGGTGGAGTAAAAGAAAATGATATAAATCTGAGCTCTCTACATGGCAAGAATGGTACTATGGAGCTCCACCCCACGTTCCTCAAAAAGGCTCCAGGAATTATATGCTACAGGGGAACAGGCACTGTACTGGGAGTCAAGAAACCAACCTCCCTTTTACCAGTGACCAGAGTTGTATGACCTTGGACAAATCACTGCCCCCCACCCCCCGCAGGGCCTATGTGCTATTCAAGGGGATCAAACAAAATGGACTTATATAGCCCCTCACAATTCTAAAAATCTGACACCAATTGATGCCAGCAAATGTAAAGAGCCAGTATGCTTGTTGCTACTGCTCAAAAAGATTAAAACAGAAATAAAGGACAGAAAATAGGGATCTGTATTTAAACCTAGACAGAACTATTTGAAGTGCCATGTGAAGGACAAGGCGACTAAATGCCATTATAGACCTGTAAGAGTCCCACACTATCTCAGAAGCCCTAGAGCACAGCTGTCCTGCTAATCCTCAATATATAAACATAGGTCTGTCCATCCTAAATACCAAAAGGCTTTGGCTACCATTTGACTAAGGAAAGGAAGTTCAATTCCTTTATCTTTTCACAGAATATCAATGTTCAGCTGCTAAGTATTGCCACTGGGCGCTGTGGGGGCAGGGGATGGATAAAGGAAGCCAGAATCCTAGTTAATTATCATTTAGCTACAGTGTTTAAAGTTTCAAGTATGAGAAGCATGTCTACTGATTCTCTTCTTTGATAAACTGTTATATAAGTTGGAGTGTGCTAGCAAGACATTTTTAGGTTCAGGGTAACTTTATAATACACAATGTAGAATGTATGGCCCATCCTAACATTACAGTTTTATCATGAATGTGATGCCAGCTTTGGATGCATGGTCAAAATACCACAAATAATAGCACAAATAATGTTTACAGAGTATGACAATGATGTGGTAGTAAATATAGAAACCCTGGGTCCCTCACTTCAAGAAACTCATTTGCACAACTTGCCCTCTTTCCCAAAATAAATTCACTGTTATTCTCTAACCACCTCAAAAGGATTCTTGGATCCTTGCTTCTTTTAAATTTCACATGACAAAATATGGCAGTGAGGAGAAAACTTATTTTAAATGCACTAAATTTACTTGAATAAAGAGCTGAAAATGTAGAAGACAAACACCAAAGCTAATAGTTAGCTAACAAGGGCGCAAACACCATAAAGATTGCAAAACAAACAAAACAATAACTGGTCTTGGAAGATTACTCCTGAGTAATTATTCCAATCAATAGACTCCTGTTCTCAAACTAGCAGTGGTTAACAGCCTTCACACTCACCCTACCTAACCCCCCCCAAAAGAGTCAGAACCGGCATGCAAAGGGTGAGTTTTATTTCCATAGATTTTTTAAATTGCTGTTCAGAAGTTGTCTAGCAAGATGGCATAGTTCTACCAGAATTCCACAGGGGCGCTGATCCTCACTAGAACACTGAGGACAATCAGTCTCAAATTGCAGGTAAGTGTGAACAAGCCCAAGTTCTGGTCAGCGCACAAGGACCCGCGCTGAAAATGCGATTAAAAGTTATTTCAACTGTGGAGCAGTTATTACAGCTGTTTACAGCTCCAACTCCAAAGGAGAGCCTGCTCGTGCTGGCATCAGCTCTGGACACGAAAAAACAAGCACCGCGGGCAGAAAACCTCACCAGGAGCAGAGGGGCCGTTAGTCCGCCAGAGGGGCAGCGCCCGCACCTCCGCGGCCGGGAGAGCAGCCAACTTTTCCCGCGGCAGCCCATGGCTGGGGGCGGCGGGCGCCAGCCAGGGCTCCCAAGTCCAGGGGTCCTAAGGGTCTGGGTGAGCTAGACCCGGACCCAGGACAACCTACCCCGGGGCGACCTCTTCCCTGCTCGCCTGCCCCTCCCCGGTGCGGCCCTACAACTTGGCTGGAGGTGGCAGAGTCCTCCTCAGGGCCCGGTGGAGGAGGGCCCCCGCCCTGAGCACAAGGGGAGGGGGCCTCCGCCGCCGCCGCCGCTACTAGGTGACTCACCTGGTGCCCGTCCTGGGAGTGTGGGGGGAGTGTGGTTTCGCCCGGTTCCAGAGGCTGCTGCTGCGGTGGTGGCTGCCCGAAGTGGCGGGTGATGGGACCATCAGGGTCGAGGCCACTGGGGCTGCTCAGGGTGCCAGAGGTGCCAGGGGTGCCGGAGCCAAGGCGGGACTCGGCTCCCCGTTCCCGCCGCAACTCGGAGCGCAACTCCAGGTAGCAGCACAACGTCAGCAGGTGGAGGGCCAGCGAGAGGCCAAAGAAACCCAGGAAGAGCCGGCAGCTGTTCCCTTCGCCCGCCCGGGCAGGGGCCCCGCGACAGCCGCAGCCCTGGCTTCCCCGTTCCCGCGGCGCTGCCATGGGCAGAGGTTCCCTGCGCTCTACCTCGGGGTAGCCCATGGCCTCCGGAGACACCCACTCTCTGAGGCCCGGGAGCCGCCGCGTCTTCCTCAGCCGTTCAGGACCCCTGACAGGCGGCTACCGCCCTGCCATCGGCTGGAGGCTGTAGGGACCCGTTCCAGTGCAACGGATGCTGGGCGGGACCGAGCTGGGAGCTGCCGCATGTGCAGCTCCACTCCGAGGGGTGGGAAAGGGAGGAGGAGGGGCGGGAGAGGGGCGGCTCTGCCCGCGGGGAGAATGAGGGAGGAGGCCGAGGCCAACCCCGCCCCATCTCCCAAGCGGCTGCCCAGACGCCCAACCACCGACCCGCCAAGCCTTGGCGCCCCGCCCCCTGCCATTCCACCCGGGGCCTCCAGCCACGGGGCGGGGCCTGGGGGCGTGTGGGTTCGCCTCAGCCGAACGGCCCCACCCAGCTCTTCCCGCTTGCGCCTGTTTCAGTTGGTGACCAACGCTGTCGTTCATCCCTGGACTCCGCCCCAATTTAACCCTACAGCGCCTGTATGGGTGGGGGGAGGGTGGGCAGGAGAAAGGAAAGAGGGGGAGGCTGAGAAGAATTGGGGCACCTTGGAAAGAAAGTACAGCAAAGAAAGGAGGCAGAAACTAGAATTAATAGAAATGTTTGCAATTAACTGCAGTTGTTAATAACATCATCCAGCACTTATCTGTTGCTTTCAATCTTCAAAGCGTTTAACAGACGTTAAACTAATTAAAACAGTTCTGGGTTTGGAATGAAACCATGCCTGCTGTGTTTGCAATCCAGTGGCGCGCCAAAAGAAAAGGAGACCCAGGAGCCTGGGAGCCAAAAGGAATGAGGTTGGGGTGGGACTAAGGCAGCCCCACTCCAAGAGTGAGCCTGGGGCCTCTTTCTAAGTGTCCAAGAAGTCTACCTATGCCAGGTGGAACTGAAATGACTTTGTCCCACGCAGGTTCAAACAGTCCCCTAGGATTTCTTGACACATTAATTAATTCAACAAATATGTATCGGTCCCTTTACAATGTAGAAAGTACTGCATGAGATAATCCACAGCCAGTGGAGTTTCTCTTCTGCCTCAGCAACAGGACTTTTGAGTGGAGAATATGTGCCTTCAATGAGCAAATGGGGAAATTGAGGGCCAGATGAGGTGGATTTTTACAACGGTGGTCCACAGAATGACCGGGCAATATTGGCATCTCTATTTGCAGGCAACTGTTCTGGCCTCTCCATTCCTCCCCTCCTTTCCCTGGAGTAGTCCCTGGGGGAAGTTCAACAAGTCAGCCAAATGTTCCAGATGTACATGGCTGCAACTGCAGCATCTTCAACAGCTGAACCAATAAGAAAAGGGTTCAGAGCAACCCCCCCCCCAAAAGGCAAATGTCAGAACAATAGACCCTGAAATGAAGGATGGAAAGGATTAGTTCAGTCAATATCTACAAGAGTTACTAGTCTGAGATTATAGAGAGCTAAATGACCATAGCAGGGGAAATATGTATGCTTCTTGGTCACTATGTACTCCTATTCCCATGTTATGAACAATTAGCAGTTTATTGATTTGTCAAGGGTAGGCCTCAGATCTTGGCTGATGGGAAAGAAGAAAAATAAGGAGATATAGAAAAGAAGACAAGAAAAGAGAAACAATGAAACAAAAGCAAAACATATAATGGAAAGGTCTGTCCAGAAAGCACAGAGTTCATAAACCTTAAATATATTGGCCACAGCCAAGTTTTCTTCCAGACACTTTGTGAATGATCTCAGTGCTTCAGAAAGATCTATTTGCCCCCTCATTGGCCCTTATTCATGAAGTATAAAGTTTGCAAAGAATATCACCATGAGATGATAAGAAGAAAATTAAAAAGGGCATTTAATAGCTAAGCTAATCTCAAGTCCTGCTTGTTCTGTCTAGGGATTCTAGATGCTAGGGGAACTACTGGGCTGATTTACCTTAATTATCATAGCCTAGGATTATTAGAAAGAATGTTACACTAAGAGTCTATAGACCTGACCCTGCCACTGGATTTCTGGGTCACTCTGAGCAAGTCACTGGGCTTTTTGGCCAGAAACATTAGTTTCTCCAATGGTAAATAGAGGAGTTTGGACTTTAACAACTGTAACATTGCGTTTTATCTGTTATCACTGGCTATGTTAATTTGGTTATATACACAGTTCAAAAAGGCTGCCCCTTGTTTCCTTAAAGTGAAAAGGAAACAAATAGCAGCCATCTCCTGGTAGTGGTGCTCAGGAGCCTTACTGGTCTCAGCTTACCCTCTTCTACCAGGCTTTTAACAGCCTGACCAAGACCCTGGGTTGCACCATTACCCTCAGAAGACCTGCAAGTTACATCTGTCCTAGAACCTCACTTTGGTTCCCCAGAGTAAGAACATATGTCTTCATATGCAGTAGATATGTTGAAATAAAGCAATGTGGTGAAGAATGTACGTGGTTATTCTGTAAAAATGTTTTGAGGGGTGCCTGAGTGGCTCAGCTGGTTAAGCATCTGACTTTGGCTCAGGTCAGGATCTCATAGCTCAGGTCATGATCTCACAGTTTGTGAGTTCAAGCCCCACATCAGGCTCTGCACTGACAGTGAGGAGCCTGCTTTGGATTCTCTGTCTGTCTCTGTCTCTCTCATTGCCCCTCCTGGGCTCATGCTCTCTCAAAAATAAATAAATAAACATTTTTTAAAAAGGTGTTTTGGGGCACCTGGGTGGCTCAGTCGGTTAAGCGGCCGAC